TTTGATACACTGAGCACTAATGACGGAAGACCAGATAAATTGTGGGATTACATCAAGGACATCATACATGAAGAAAGCAAAAGGTCATTAAAAAGATAGGAAAGAAAGAAAAGACCAAAATGGATGTCAGAAGAGACCTTGAAACTTGCTCTTGAACGTCGAGTAGCTAAAGTGAACAGAAGAAATGATGAATTAAAAGAGCTGAACAGAAGATTTCAAAGGGCGGCTGGAGAAATTAACATAAAGTATTATAACGAAATGTGCAAAGACCTGGAATTAGAGAACTAAAAGGGAAGAACACTCTTGGCATTTCTCAGGCTGAAAAAACTGAAGAAAAAATTCAAGCCTTGAGTTGCAATTTTGAAGGATTCTGTAGGCAAAATATTGTACAACGCAGGAACCCATCAAAAGAAGATGGAAGGAATACACAGAGTCACTGCAGCAACCATTTCTGGAGGTAGCATGTGATCAAGAACCAATGATATTGAAGGAAGAAGTCCAAGCTGCACTGAAGGCATTGGCAAAAAACAAGGTTCCAGGAACTGATGGAATACCAATTGAGATGTTTCAACAAATGGATGCAGCACTGGAGTGCTCACTCATCTATGCCAAGAAATTTGGAAGACAGCTGCCTGGTCAACCAACTGGAAGGTGGTCCAACAGAATTCGAAAATATTAATATCACACAAAGTAAAATTTTGTTGAAGATCATTCAAAAGCAGTTGCAGCAGTACATTGACAGGAAACTGCCAGAAATTCAAGCTAGATTCAGAAGAGGACGTGGACCGAGGGGTATCATTGCTGATATCAGATGGATCTTAGCTGAAAGCGAGAATACCAGAAAGATTTTTACCTGTGTTTTATTGACTACACAAAGGCATTTGACCGTGTGAATCATAACAAATTAGGATAACATTGTGAAGAATGGGAATTCCAAAACACTTAATTGTGCTCATGAGGAAACTGTACACAGACCAAGAGGCAGTCATCTGAACAGAACAAGGGTATATGGCATGGTTTAAAATCAGGAAAGGTGTGTGTCGGGGTTGTATCCTTTCACCATACTTATTTAATCTGTATGGCAAGCAAATAATCCAAGAAGCTGGACTATATGAAGAAAGCTGCATCAGGATTGGAGGAAGACTCATTAACAACCTTCATTATGCAGATGACACAACCTTCCGTGCTGAAAGCAAAGAGGACTTGAAGCACTTACTGATAAAGATCAGAGACTACAGCCTTCAGTATGGATTACACCTCAGCATAAAGAAAACAAAAATCTTACAACTGGGCCAATAAGCAACATCATGATAAATGGAGAAAATATTGAAGTTGTCAAAGATTTCATTTTACTTGGATCCACAATCAACACCCATGGAAGCAGCAGTCAAGAAATCAAACAATGTACTGCATTGGGCAAATCTGCTGCAAAAGACCCCTTTCAAGTGTTAAAAAGTAAAGATGTCACTTTGAGGACTAAGGTGAGCCTGACCCAAGTCCTGGTATTTTCCATCGCCTCATATGCGTGTGAAAGCTGGACAGTGAATAAGGAAAACAGAAGAAGAATTAATGCATTTCAATTATGGTGTTGGCAAAGAATATTGAATATACCATGGACTGACAGAAGAATGAACTGATCTGTCTTGGAAGAAGTACAGTCAGAATGCTCTTTAGAAGCAAGGATGGTGAGTCTTTGTCTCACCTACTTTGGACATGTTATCAGGAGGGACCAGTCCCTGAAGAAGGACATGATGCTTGGTAAAGTAGGGGGTCAGTGAAAAAGAGGAAGATCCTCAATGGGATGAATTGACACAGTGGCTAACATTGGGCTCAAACAAGCAATGATTGTGAGGATGGCACAGGACTGGGCAGTGTTTCTTTCTGTCATATGTGGGGTTGCTATGAGTCGGAAATGACTCAACGGCAGCTAACAACAACAATAAATGAAAAACCAACATCCAACATTATACTTCATGGAGAAAGATTAAGTGCTTTCCCCTTGAAATCAGGAACAAGACAAGGATGACCACTCCTATTCAATATTATATTGGAAGTCCTAGCCAGAGCAGTAAGGCAAGAAAAACAAATAAAAGGTATCCACATTGGAAAAGAAGAAATGAAATTCTTTCTATCCATGTATGGCATGTTTCTATATATAGAAAATCTCAAAGATTCCACAAGAAATTTTCTAGAGCTAATAGAGGAATTCAGCAAAGTGGAAGGGTACAAAGTCAACACACAAAAATCATTTTTGTTTCTATACACCAGCAATGAAAACTATGAAAAGGAAATTAAAAAACAATTTCATTTACAATAGCATCTAAAATATACAATGAAAGTTATGAAACACTGCTGAAAGAGATTAAAGAAGACCTAAATAAATGGAAAGATATTCTGTGTTCGTGGATTGGAAGGCTTAATATTGTTAAGGTGTCAGTGCTATCCAAAGCAATCTGTAGATTCAGTGCAATCCTGATGAAAATTCCAACAGCCTTCTTTACAGAAATAAAAAAGCCAATCATCAATTTTATATGGAATGGCATGAGGCCCGGAATAGCTAAAGCAATTCTGAAGAACAAACTAGGAGGACTCATATTTCCTGACTTCAAAACATACTATGCAGCTACAGTAATCAAAACAGCTTGGTATATTAATAGACACATATACCAATGGAATAGAATTGAGAGTCCAGAAATAAACTCACACATCTGTGGTCAATTGATTTTTGACAAGGGTGCTAAGACCATTCAGTGGGGAAGGAAAAGCCTCTTCAATAAATGGTGCCTTGAAAATTAGACTTCCACATGCAGAAGAACGAGTAGAGATCCATGCCTCACACGGTAAACAAAAAACAATTCAAAATGGATTACGGACCTAAATGTGAAAACTAAAGCATAAAATTCAGTGGCCTGGCTGTTGAGCCTAGTTTTTAAGGATGGTTTATCTGATATAATAACAAAAGCATGAAGAGCAAAAGAAAAAATAGATAAATGAGACCTCATAAAAGTTAAACACTTTTGTTCATAAAAAGTGTTTTTTTTTTTCAACAAAATGAAAAGACAACATACAGATTGGGAGAAAATTTTGGGGAACTATATGTCCAATAAGGGTCTAATATTCAAAATATATATATAACTTCTACAACTTAACAATAAAAAGACAAATAATGCAATCACAAAGTGGGCAAAGGACTTGAATAGACATTTCACCAAAGATGATATTCAAATTGCCAACAGACATATGAAAAGACGCTCAATGTCTTTAGCCATCAGAGAGATGCAAATCAAAATCACAGTGAGATATGACTTCACTCCCACTAGGATGGATAAGATTTAAAAAAAGATAGAAAATGATAAGATGGATGCTATGACCATATCAAAGAGCATAAATAACCTTCTTGAAATTTGTGAAGGCTTTCTAGGGGAAGTGACAACTGACCTGGTTCTTGAAAGAAGTATAGGAGTTAACCAGTAGTGTCAGGGTAAGGGTGGGGCTAGGGGGAAGAGCATCCTAGGAAGAGGGAAAAAGACAAAGATATGGAGGCTTGACCAAGTATGGCACTTTCTGGAGTTGTGAATAAGATGATGAGATACGAGATTCTCCAGGAAGGCAAGGAACAGTGGTTGAAGGACTTTCAATATCATAGTGCATTTTGACTTTATAGACACTGAGCAGCAACTGAAGGATTAAAGCAAGAGAGTTAAATGATTTAATTTAGAAATATCTCTATGGAAGGAAGCAAAGTATGGATTGAGGGCTATGAGAATAGATATAAACAAACCAGTCAGAAGACTAGAAATATTGGGGGCCTAAGTTAAGGCCAACTCACAGGGTCTCTATGAGTCACAATCGACTCAACCGCAATGGGCTTGAGTCTTTGTTGTTTTTTTCTTTTTTGTAAAGTAAGGCCATGGTGAGGATGAAAGAAGGTGGAGCGAGGAGTTATCAGACAGGTGAGTAGAGGATAAAAGAAATAGATCCACAATTATGCCTGGAATTCTGGCTTGGCCAATAGAGTGGAGGGTGATTTCACTAAGAAATAGGAACTAAAGGAGGAGAAGGTTTGTGTGCCAACTTTAGTATTGAACATCTAATATTTAGGGAACATTCCAGTGAAGATTTTCAATTGCCAATTGGGTATAGAGAACTGGAGCACAAGGGAAGTGATCTGAGCTGAAGAGCTAGTGGGTATGTATCAAATAGCTCAGGAAGAGACTAGTGAGTAGGAAGAGAGAGAATGATGGAACACCAGAGATGTCAACATGAAGGTGCAGTGGACTCTTGAAGGAGAATGATAAGAAGTGGCTGAGGGATGGAAGAAAACCAGGAGAGTGAAATCCTTAAAGTCAAAACAAAGAACAAAATTGATGAAGTCAAATGCTATAAAAATATCAGGTAACATGAAGACTGAAAAGTTTCTAGTAAATCTGGTAACAGTAGGGGCTAGAGGGCAGGGAGTGAGAGTGACTGAGAAATACAAATAAAGATTTTGAGTTTATAGACTCTCTTTTCAAGAACTTTGACTATGAAGAGAAGGTGGGCAAGCAGACAGTAGCTAGGGAGAACAAAGGGAGAAAGAAGACTTCCTGTATTTTTTCGTGGGAGAGACTTAAGTAGGGGAAGCTTATTGCATGGGAGAGATTGAAGATATAGGAAAGTAATAAATCAAATAAGGGTGCTTAGCCTGGCATAAATCGGTGGATATGTCTTCCTCTGAAAACAAGGAAAAGACTGAAGACTGACTGGTGTGAATGCAGCTCGGTTGTGGGGAGAGGGAGGAAATGCAGGAATTCTCTGTATAGTAGTATGTGAGGTCATCTACTGAAATAACCTATTCTATAAGGTGATAACCCCACATACAGAGAAATAAAAGCAGAAAGTTTGGAGCATGGGAAAGCAATGCTGATAATGTCAAAATACAGTGCTTCATTAGTGATCAATAATAAAGTGGGGTGTGTGTGTAAGACTTTTGTTGTTTCTATTTTTTTGGTTTTGCTTGATTAAAAATTATTTTTATCAATTTAAGTATATCTTTCATTGAGCATAAGATGTTATTTTGACTGATACTACTACATATACTGCAACTTTAAGACTGTGACTTTTGTGTGTAAACGTAGGCCCAAATAAGGGTGTGATTCATATCATGATTAAATATATATTCTGAATGGCATTTCTTTTGGTTCTGGACAGGACTACCTTGAGATTAAAAGAATGATTTTTCCAAGATTTTATTTTCTTAGCAACGCTGAACTTCTTGACATTCTAGCTTATAGTAAAAATCCTGAATCTGTACAGGTAATGTCATAATATTTTGCTCAGCAATATTTTTTCTAGACCAGGTCAGGATTATATAGGTTTGCTTACATTTGCTTCTGGTTCACAGCGTCATCTTGTGAAGTGTTTTGAAAATGTAAGACAGTTGATGATATGCAAACAAGAAATTGGCCCCCCTGCTGTAACGATGCTCGTATCTGCTGAAGGAGAAAGTCTTGTGCTGCCAAAGTATGATATATACATGTGACAAACTAAGGTGTTTAGACTCCCTAAAACCTCACTGTTTAAAACTTCTGATTTCAGATATTTCAAAAAAGCTTGCTAAGCAAACCATTTCATCAAAGATAGTGTCCTTATGCAAATACACTATTAACTTTCCATATTCTATATAATAAATACTTTTCTCGCCTTTGCTTTGATTAAAAGTAAAGAAAGGACTCTTCCAACTCCTGGTGCTTTCTAATCTGTGCCTCCCTTTTGCTCTGTCATTAAATCTCTGCCGGGTTTTCTACTGTCTTTTTAGTGCTTGCTTCTTATTTGATTTTCTCATATGGACATAGATAGGAAGGAAATTTGCTCTTTGCTTGGGGTTGCTGTTGCCAGCACTGACCTCTGATTTTGTAATAACGAGCTAGACCCATCCATTACACTGGTCCAATGTGCCAGCCCCAGTGAAGGCTCTCTAACCTCTGGCATGTGGTTCCTGGTGCAAGTTGCTTAAAAAATGCTGTGCCCAAGTCTTCCCATCTGTCAAAACCCCAACCCCACCCTGATCTAGGCTTGCTGTTTAGAAGATCCTATCAGGAACCAAAAAATGTTTTGTACTGTAATTTATCATGTTTTTTTTTTTTTTAATGGTAGAATTTCCTTAAGCTAGGTGACATGTTTTTCTGCATAGTTTTCCAAATTAAAAATCTAGAAAAAAATCAAAATATAATTTCAAATTGTAGCCCTTTGGCCTATAAATATTATAAAAATGTATAGCCTACAAGTACAGGTACATCAAAGTAATGAAACATGAATAAAAGTAATTTTACTTATTTTGTTAATTGTAGGAAAATTCGAGTAAGAAGTGCTGTAGAACAGTGGCTGGTAAATGTAGAGAAAAGCATGTTTGATTTGTTAAAAAAGTAAGTACAATTTCAAATCTTAAAATTATATTTTATAGATACGCTATATATAAGATATGCTATGTATAAGGAAACCCTGGTGGTGTAGTAGTTAAGAATTCAGCTGCTAACGAAAAGATCAGCAGTTTGAATCCACCAGGTGCCCCTTGGAAACCCTATGGGGCAGTTCTGCTCTGTCCTATAGGGTTACTATGAGTCAGAATCGACTCAACGGCAATGAGTTTGGTTTATTGTTTTTTTTTTTAACTTGGTAAATTATCTATTAATCTAAGTGGGAAATATGTAGAGAGGTAAAAGGAGTAAAGTCCTTTATGAAATGGATTTTGATGGAACATGATGGCACATGACTAAATGGAAAATAATCATCTTTAAAGTGCAAATTTTAATTTGAGGGTGTAATCATGGACAACATTCAGACAGCTTTTGTGTACTTTGTGATTCATATGTATCTGAAAACTGGCCAGGAGCTGAACTGACGTCCACCTCTGCCTGCTTTCTAAAGACCTAGAGCTCAGTAGGCCCCTGGTTTCTGCCCACCTCACTACTTTGCATTTCCATTCCACTTTTGCTTCCTGGAATTGTTTCCTGGGTTTAGTCTTCTTAATGTTCTGCTTTTTATATTTAAACCTATCGTTGCTATATCTGTTTAAAGCAAACAAAGAGCCTCAGAGAGTGAAGTTTTAAAACTAATTTGCCTAGAAAAGTCTTACTACATTTCTAATTTTTGTTGGTTATAGAAAAGCTATTGATCTTTGTTAAGTTTTAATATCTATATTTATTAATATTATCCTGAATGTCAACACAAGGTTTCTAGAACAGAGTAGATTATTATTTACTTACAAAATAACCATGCAGGCTTGCCTTTGCCCTGGTTGTTACTCCTGAGGTGATGTGATGAGAATCATCTTACATGTAAGGGGCACTCCTATAAGCAAGGAATTCCCCCCAAAAACACATCTGAGCATTTATATAAGACAGATAAGCAGTTTTTCAACTATTGCCCTGGGACTTTTCTGGTTACACAGTCGCATCATTTGTTAATCATGATAGTCCTATCTTTTTCTTTACAATTCTTTTTAAACTGTCCTTATCTTTCCATGTTGTTTTGGATGACAACTTTGTACTGTGTTGGAAAGTAGAGATGACAGTGAGCACTCTTCTTTTGTTCCTAGTTTTATTGGGAAAGCGTCTGCAGTTGCAACATTTACTCATTTATTACAATGCTTAAGCTCTGGAACATACCCCTTGTCAAAGTATAGATATTTTTATTCTATTCCTAGTTGCAAAGCGTTTTTATAATTAAAGAATGGTTAATCACATTAAAAGCTTTTTATAATTCTATTGAGAAAATCAAATACCCTTTACCTTTAATTTGTGCATGTCATTAATAAATTTGCTAATGTTGAACTTTTCTCAGTTTTCACATTTATATCCTTTTTTTTGGTTCACTATTTCTTAGAAAACTGTATTAAACTATATTTTCTAATTTTTATAGGTTTGGCAATTTTGCTTTTTAAATTCTAACACTTATCATATATTTTGATTCTCTGTTATATACAAATCTTTTTAGTAGATTTTATCTTTAATTTATCAATATTTGTACATTATTAGTTTTTTTTACTTAAATGCTATTTTGTCTGATATAAAAATTTATCACACTTGTCTCCATGGTCACAAACATTTGTATCACAATGTTATTTTCAACATTTCTGTGTCATGTTAATGTTTCCTACATCAGCTATAAAAATGGATTTTACTTTGATTTTTTTTTAACCAATATGAAAGTGCTGGTTGTCAGTGCTGGTTAGTCTGTATGCCCAGAAAATCCATTCTCTGGCCTTTGTTGTCTTGTATGTAGTTGGGATGCTCATGTCCATGAATTGCATAGCTGGATTCCTTTGTCCTCTGGCATCCAGTTGGGTAAGGCAAATGTGAGGCTCCCTTTCAGCCTCTCTGCAGTTTGGGCAAAATCTAGATTCCTAAGTGGTGCAATAAGTTAACAGGCTGGGCTGCTAACCAAAAGGTTGGAAGCCGAGTCCATCCAGAGAGCCTCAGAAGAAAGGCCTGGCAATCTACTTCCAAAAAATCAGCCATTGAAAACCTTAGGGATCACAGTTCTACTCTGACACACATGGGTCGCCATGAGTCAGAGTCAACTTGATGGCAGCTGGTTTGCTTTTATGTTCCTTTACCTTAAGCCACAGCCCCTCTCCAAAGTCTTCGGTTCTCACCAGTTTCCAGTAACATTGCCCTTTCCTCTTGCCCCTTCACGCTTAGGTATGGTAACGGCCTCTCCCTGTTGTTAGACCCTGATCCTTCATCATCCCTGTTGGTCTGACAATCTACTTCTGAAAAATCAGCCATTGAAAACCCCGTGGAGCTCAGTTCTACTCTGACACACATGGTGGGGTTGCCATGTGTCAGAGTCAACTGGAGGGTGGCTGATTGCTGATTAAAGATTGGCCAGGGATTGCTTCTGCTATTTGCATTTGTTAACCTTGACAGTAGTTTTCTTTGGTTTCTCCATTCTTCTTTCTAGAACAATTCAGTCCATTTGCTTCTTATCTGCCAGGAATTTTTCAAGTCTTTCATACCCCGGAACAGCCTTTCTTGTTTTCCAGCTCCTTTAAATTTATTTTTCCATCTATTTTCTATCATTTGAAGGGATATGGTTCCAGATGAAGGTAGGATTGTTTGTTAAGTCAAAAATCTTGATTCAATCTCTACTTAAATAGACTATAAGAAAGAGAATAAATATTTCCAAAAGCCTAGAGGAAATAAAGAAAAAAGAGTGTGTTTCTGTGTGTATTTACATGAATATAAACACAGAAAAAAAAGAGAAATAAGTATCAAAATAGAAAATAAAGAGCTAAATAACAAAATCCAAACATAAAGATCTTAAATATAAATGTAAGTGGAATAAAATCTTAATTAAAAGAAGATTTTGTCAAAAGATAAATGTAGCTATATGCTATTTGAGAGATACAGCAATGTACAAAAAAGTTGTGCAGAAAAGCAGTGAAGATATTTCATGGAACTGCACACGAAAGAAAACAGCGTTTTGTTAATATCAGAGTAAAATTAAATGCAAAAGGCATTAAATAAAATAGAAGATCATCTTAATGATGAAACATACATTTCACACTAGTGATACTGCTTTGAAATATATAAAATGTTATTAAACATATCCTTTTTCTCAACTATGATAAATAAGAAAATATAATAAAAATAAATACTATTTGCAATCACAACAAAAATTATAAAGTATCAATACCTCATTTTAAATGTTCAAATAAATTCTAAATTAAGATTGATATGTTAAAAAAAATGAAGCCATATAAGTATTAGAAGAAGATAAATGAATCTTTGTGTTGAGGATTTCTAAAACATAATATCAGTGATAGATAAAGTAAAGCAGAAGATTGATCAGGTTGACTATATAGAAATTTAAAACATCTCTATAAAGGAAAACACAAGAATATCAAACATATACTTTAGGCTTATATTAACCTTGGTCTTAAATAAAAATGTCTGGATATTTTTCATAAGTCTTATATTCTCCATTATACACAAATTTTAAAGTTAAATGCAGGACTTTACTGTTAAAATTCATCTGGTGGTTTCAGTCCAGTATTCCATTTTGTAGAAATTATTTTAAATACTAGTTTTGTCATTGGCAATTCAAAGCTAATATATGTCATCTCCTAACTTAATGTATTTTTACCATCCCAGAAACTCAGTGGCAAACTAGAAAAGTGCAGATTATATTAAAGGGAAATTTAAGGAATATGCATTAAGCATGGATTAAGCCTCTTTCAAGGAGCCCTGGTGGCACAATGGTTAAGCCCTTGTCTGCTAACCCAGCAGCTCCTCGGAGGAAGACCTAATGATCTGTTCCTGTAAAGATTACAGCCTAGAAAACCCTATGGGGCAGTTCTGTTCTGTCACATGGGGTCACTGTGAGTTGAAATCAACTCAATGGCACCTAACAACAAGGCTCTTTTAACTCTATTTGGTCTCATACATATACCTGAATTAGAGTAAAAAGTCAGAGATTCTAAAGGAACATTCTCCTTTGACTTTGTTATGCTTGATCATAAGTTAAATGGCCATAATCAATGATTAGGTATAAATAATATAATAAAACTTTTTGTTTGTAGATTTGTAAGTTGTGGGGTTGAAGATTGGAAAGATCAAATTTTTTCCGTATGGGTGGTATCTCATCCAGGACAAGTGGTACTCACTGTGGTAAGTTAATGCTGCTTTGATGTACACCTTTTAAGAATTTAATTTGTGGCTACATTGCCAAGAAAGCAAATTTTTTTTTAAAAATAAACCATTGTGAAGGATAATGATATCTGTAACTTACTTTGAAATGCATCAAAAAATGTGGTACTGATGGATGGATAGATAGATGGACAGATATGTGATACAATAATAGAGCAAAAAGTTAATTTTAGAATATAATTGGGTATATAGGTATTCACTATATAATTCTGCCAACTTCTCTCTAATTTTAAAAATATTCTTAATAAAATTTTGAAAGAAAATAAACTATAAATTACTTCCCTAGGATGTCATTATATTGCATTGTATTAGTTTTCTTTTATTGCTGTTAAAAAATTACCACAACTTTGTGGCTTAAAACAACACACATTTATTATCTTATAGTTCCATAGATTAGAAATACAACACAAGTCTTACTGTTCTAAAATCAGGGTATCAGCAAGGCTGATATTTTTTGAGAGGATGTAGGGGAAAATCCATTTTCTTGCCTTTCCCAGCTTTTAGAGCCTGCATTACTTGGCTTGTGGCCCCTTCCTCCATCTTCAAAACCAGCAATGTTTCATCTTTCTGACCATTCTTCTGTAGTTATATCTCCCTGTGCTCATAGCCAGAAAAGGTTCTCTGATTTTTAAGGACATATGTGATTAGATTGGGCCCACCTGTATAATCCAGGATAATCTCTCCATCTAAATGTCCTGAACACCTGCAAAGTCCCTTTGGCCGTATAAGGTAACACATTCACAGGTTCCGGGGGTGAGGACATGGATATCTTTGCAGGGAGCCGTTATTCTGCCTACAATGTGCATATTTTCTATTTATTGTTTTTCTGGGGCTCTAAAGAGAAAGAGAAGGAAAACCAGGAGAATGCGATGTCAGGAAAGCCAAAACAGTTCTTTTGAGTAGTGGCTAAAGCCGGGAGATGGTGAGATTTCCCTGGCTGCATGTGTAGAATCAGGGAAGAGGGACAAGGAAAGACCCATGGAACATCAGCATTTAAGGAATAGGCAAAAGAAGGAGAATCCATGAAGAAGACTGAGAGAGAGTAGCCAGGAAAAAAAAGGAAAATTATGAGAATTGTCATGGAAGCTAAGGGAGGAGAGAGGACTTTTTTTGTTTGATTTTTTTTTTTTTTCTAGAAAAAGTGAGTAGTCATCATTTTAAAAATGCTCTAGAGAAGTCTGAAAACTCCATTATGTCAGTCAATTATGAAGGTTAACACGAACCTTGGAGATGTAGTTTTCCTGGGATGATGAAGGCAGACGCCATATTGCCATAGGTTGCCATCAAGTATTTTTAAAGCATACTTGACCTCGTAGTTCTCTGTTCAATTCAAAAATATCATCACATCTTTTTACTTTGCCATTTTCAAGTATTTCTAAGATAGCCTGAGATTGTGGACACAAATTATGATTCTCAAATTTTCTTGGTCCCTTTTGCTGTCCGTTTGACTGAATATTGATATTCAAAACTCTTCGGATCTTAAGCTGAAGGACTTGTTTAAGCTTTTGTTTGCAAGGCCAAGAAAAATTATAATGAATCAACCTGCACATTTCTATGGCTTAACAGGAATTCAAGTAATCAAATTTGCTCTGCTGGTGCTCCAAACATGCTTAACAATAAGAAGCCGTCTGTATTCTGTTTCCATAAATACTTTATGATAGACTTTAACTTCAATCATTGAACATACTTTGCCAAAGTTTTTCCCATGTCTGCCCTGCCTACTGCTAATTTCCCATCCCAGGATGAAATTTACAACACCCCTTTCTCTTGCAATCCCACATATGTTACATGACGAGTTGTCTCTGGGTGGATGTAAAAAGAGATGCCTGTGGGGAGTGGGGATGATGAGATGTCTGTATGGACTGGCCATTGAGAGAATTTCAGTATGGATTTATCCAAGCGATAGTAATTGAGAAATCCTCTAACATTCCAGCAAATATTGACCTATAATCTCACCTTCCACAGCTGTTGTGATTTTGCATAATTTTAGGTACTTTATGGGTACTTTAAGGAGCCCTGGTGGCATAGTAGTTAAGTGCTCAGCTGCTAACCAAAAGGTCTGTGGTTCAAGCCTACCAGCTGCTCCACGGGAGAAAGATGTGGCAGTCTACTTCCGTTAAGATTCACAGCCTTGGAAACCCTATGTGGTAGCTGTACTCTGTCCTGTAGGGTCACTGTGAGTCGGAATCGACTGGATGGCAACAGGTTAGTTACAGGGGCTTTAGTGGATGTTTGAAGGAGAGAAATTTAAACATAGTTAGCTGTCAAAAATCTTAATTTTAGAAGCCTGCCCTTCTATATGTGAAATTTTAAACTCTAATGTTTTACAGTTTCATTACAACCTCCATGTTCCCATCTCTTTCATTCACTGGAACCTCATGTTGATCTTTCAGTTATCCCTTAATCTTTCAGACCCCTAAATTCACTTCCTTCCTTGTGTACCCCGTCACTTCAGTAACTTCCTTGCTGATAATTTCAGTTTCTTAGTTATAGTTAATACTTTCCTTATTTGGCATCCAGCCCCTACCCATTTCTATTAGCTTCCCAGGGCCTTTTGAAGGGGATGTAGAGGATGTACTATAATGTATGTAGTCTTTGTGAGAAGTAGAACCTACTTCCCACTACAGAAGCCAAATCCTCCCTCATCAGGGCCAAATTCTCCCTCATCAGGGTCAAATCCTCCTTCAGCCTATGTTGGTACAGCCTAGGGAGTGGACATGGCCCATTGGATACTCTCTCCCAGCACTGTGGACCTTGAATAAATGTCTCAAGGTTAGAAGTACAGCAGCATCTGGACCAGACTCTTCCATGGCATGACCTTGACTGTGCTGTTTCCTGCTGCCTGGCCCAGATTCTTGCTCCTGCCCACTTCCCAAGCCTCAAAGTCTGTAGCTTCCTGTTGATCTGCTGATTGTGAGCCCACAACATCCTGTTGGAAAGTTCAGAGTTAGTTTCTGTTGCTTGCAGTCAAGAACACTGACTGATACACCAGGTTTCTCATCTTGTACCCTCTTACCCTCTGTCTTTCTCTGGAAAAATCTCGCTAGTACACAGACACACACACCCCTACTCCTCACTTAACGACTATCTCATTATCCAACATTTTGCATTCATGACAATAGTAAAAAATCTACTGACTATTCTGCGCGTTAACAACACACATCTGGCAGTAACGAATGCTAAGGTGCAAAGCAAGAGTAATGCTGGCTGTGATGGTAAAGGTTTTGTGTCCACTTGGCTGGGCCATGATTCTCAGTGGTTTGGAAGTTGTGTAATGATGTAATTTGGCAGTTATGAAATGATGTAGTCATCTCCTATTTTGTGATCTGATGTGGTCATCCTCCATTTTCATATAATGCCAATTTTCACATAACAACATGGTCTTTGGAACCTAACCATGTCACTAAGTAAGGAGTGGGTTTATATACTATATATATAAAATATATAAACATGTATATGTATGTATGTATGTTTATATATATGTGTATATATATATTTATTTGTCTATCTATGCTAATTATGCCCATATCAATTTCTCTATAGCTCCACTTATATATTTCCTAGATACATCAAATTCAGTATATCCCAAATTAAATTCATCATGCTCCCTCACTCCAACATGCCCTTCCTTGCGTATGTACTGTGTTATGACTGGAATCATGATTCATCCAATTGTACAAGCAAGAAACCTATAAGCCATCCTGGAAATATCCCTCTCCTTTACCTTCCAGAGTCAACCTGACCTTAACCTAGTAGCCTTCTTAATAGCTTTTCAAATATTTTTCTTCTTCTTCCCTAAAGCCACTTTTTTCAGGGATACCCTTTAGCTTTCCCTACTCCAAGCCACTCTCCACAATGCATTCAAGAGGGGTCTTTCTAAAAGACAGATAGAATTATTCCACTTCTTGAAAGCAATTCAGCTATTCTTTCATGAAAAAAGCTTCAATATTGTATTTAAAACTCCTGATGACCTGTTCAGTTTATTTCGCCACTTCTCAACTCTTAGCTCTTTCAAACTATATGTAATATTCCAAATAGATCATAATTTTGTGTCTCTAAGTCTTTACGCATGCTATTTGCTCTACTTTTACACTCACCTAAACAACTTGTATTTATCCTTCAAGATTCATTCAGGCATTACCCGCTTCACAAACCTCTCCTGATTATCCCACTTTGTGTTAAGTGCCTCAAATGCCTTGTTGACCCACTGGTTGAATGAATGAATAGGTTTAGCATAGCTGTAAGTTTTTGAGGTAATAGTCTTCTGAGATAGACATATACTGTTGTTCCAAATCTAGGATAAACCATGAATGGAATTTACCCCCAACATGCATTTTAGTCCTTGTTTCTAGTCTGCTCTATCATTTTTGTCCCTCAACCCCTGCTCTTTTTCTTTCTTCTGTCTCTGTTCACTTCATACTTCTCTGTTTCTTCTTCTTCATCACCTTTCAACCACCTTCCCCGCCATCCCCTTCCCTTCTGCGCTCTTCTTAGTGTCTGTCACCAACTGTTCCTTCTCTCCTTTCTTTTAATCTCTCTGACTTTTTCTTTCTTTCTGACTCTTTGCTCTCATTATACTTTTAGCTATTTGCCTCTCTTTCTTTTTTCGTTAGCTCCAAGTTTCCAGCTGATGATTCTTTTTTATACTAAAAAATCTAACTGAAATTGCACAGGTCTGGTATACTTGGGAAGAGTAAGTGTCAAAAGATAGATCAAATAACCTCTGTTAGATATATGTTTTGAAAATTAAGATTATGGAAATAACATGTTCTAGGTATATTATTCTGAGTTCATTAAGGTAACAACACTAATTTCATTCTTGAAGTTTTCTACTGTTGTTATAGTTCCTAGGTTATTATTTACCCTAGTGATGAATGAATGGGTTAAGAATACAAGATTTAGAAAGTGTAAATATTAGTGATAAGTATATTTCCATTTATTAATGAAGGCCCCCACAGACATTAATCAAAATTCAATCTTTAACCCTCAAATATGTACATATGTGTGGGCTGTCTCTTTCACATATGCACAAATGCCCTCACACACATACACACACCACACACATCATGAAAACATGCTTTAATTTAAAATAAAATATATGCTTCAATAATCATATTTATATTTTATCTTTTCAGAGCCAGATCATGTTTTATAATGATTGTGTCAAAAGTTTTGTGGGTTCTCATTCAAAAGAAGATTTGGAAAAAGTCCATGTTGGTGTGATAGGTCGTCTAGAAGAGGTGGTAGATCTGGTAGTGCTGAATACTAATAACTCTCGAACAAAAACTGTATTAGGGGCATTGCTTACCCTTTATGTTCACTGTAGAGATATAGTGAGAGATTTACTACTGAAAAATATCTTCAATGCAGAAGATTTTGAGTGGACAAGGTAAGTGCATCTAAATTATTACTCTAGATAAAATAAACTACTTCTCACATACCTATCTCTAGGCAAACTGATTCTCTACCTCAAACTTTGTCAAACTCAAGTTTTAATTTTCTGAGATTTATAGAAACTCTAAGCAAACTGCATCACTTTCAGTACCTGTGCTTTCTTGTTTCTCTTTTTTATTATCTATCACACTCCCCCCATTACTGCTTCTTTCTGCTTTATCTTCCTGACCTGACTGCACAGTTTTCTTGCCTGTATTTTCCCTTTGTCACTGAGGCAAAGGGCAGTCATTTTCAGTGGGTAGTGAGAGGAGCTCTCCCTCAAGCCTCTTTCTCCCCCTGTGTGCTGTCAGTTCTGGAACAGATGAGTTGGGAAACAAATTGGAGAACACTTCCAGACAATTCCCTAACTCAGAACTCCCTTCTACCCAGAATCAATTAATATGGAAAAGTAGAGCCCACTAACCTTGGTGAGAAGAGGACATCAAGCATAAAATTTCTATAATAAATGTGAAGTTACAAATACTTGAATTTATTTTTTTCTAAAGTTTTCCTCTGTTCATAGAGAAACAAGTGTCCAATCTGCATCATTTAAGGTCTTTAATTCTCAAGAAAAGTTAATTTTTTAAGACATTGTGCAGTTAGCATAAACTTCCTTATTTTAGGTATGACAGTTTCCTTTAAACTATAGGGAAAATAGAGCAGAAAGATGTTGATTTGACTGAAATGCTTGTTGAGTATATTTAACTGAATATTTTATATTTACATATATTCATACGCTATATTTATCACTATTAATTGTATACTTTCTCAAGTGCTACAGAGGCTATCCCATGTTTATGAATCATCACCCTGCAAAAAGTATAGTATGTCATTATTACTTTCTGTTAGCTCCCTTAAAAAGTGAAAACGAAAAAGTGGAAGAGCATATATAGAAAAGTAAACTAGAAAAGAGAAGATTTTAATAAGATTGTGTAAGTCTAGGGCCACAGTTCCCAGGTGCCAAGATGCTCCAAGGCATGATAGGGAACTCAAGGGGTACTGCAAGGTATTGTAAATTTTTGAGGGAATCGCAGCAATACACAACATCTGTCAAACACCAAGCAAACCACCAGCTCAGGGTAGTTCACAATTTTAACATTAGATCTTGCCACGTATCTTTCAGTGACTTCTTACCTTTACAAAGCTGGGTTTTTGGCAGTTGCTCTTATAAAAAGCAAGTATCTCTTGAAAATCAGTATGGTACAGGAAATTAGGTTGACAGTGTACAATCTGATTCCAAGTTGACAAGTTGTGCAGTGCACCAAATAGTAACTGGTTACTTAAGAATAAATTTTTTTTTTAAATTTTCTTTCAATTTACTTGTATAATGTTTTCAAACAAGCTATTAAGATCATTAGGATGGAAAAACTTATTGAACTGTTTTGGACCTAACAGTTAAAAGGAACAGTTGGGTATCTTTTGGCCTAGGGCCACCCTGAAAAAATTACTGATATGCTAAGGGTGTTGTGAACCGAGAAGGTCGGGAAGGGGGGAGAATAATAGAAAAGTCAAGGCTCTGGAAATTGATCTTCTATTTAAATAATGATTTAGCACTTAAATCATCAAGCAAATGCTTGTTCTAAAAAATTTTTTTGATGGAACAAATAACATTTCCCTCAAGTACCCTCCTGTCTTAGTCATCTAGTGCTGCTATAACAGAAATACCACAAGCGGATGGCTTTAACAAAGAGAAGTTTATTTCCTCACAGTAAAGTAGGCTAAAAGTCCAAATTCAGGGCGTCAGCTCCAGGGGAAGGCTCTCTGTGTCAGCCTTCTTCTCATCAGTGTTCCCCCAGACTAGGAGCTTCTCCGCGCAGGGACCCTGGTCCAAAGGACGCGCTCTGCTCCTGGCACCGCTTTCTTGATGGTATGAGGTCCCCTTGTCTCTCTGCTCACTTCTGTCTTTTATAGCTCAGGAGACTGCCTCAGGATACAATCCAATCTTGTAGATTGAGTCCTGCCTTACTAACATAACTGCCACCCATCCTCCCTCAGTAACATCATAGAGACAGGATTTACAGCATATAAGAAAATCACATACTACCAGGAATCATGACCCAGCCAAACTGATACACACATTTTTTGGAGGACATAATTCAATCCATGACATCTCCTAATAAGGATTCAGGGTATAATGAACAATGTGTTCAACCACATTCTAACTGGAAACCATAATAAACGTCATAGGGCTGTTTCTTATGTAAACCCTCTATTTAGGCTGACATCACATCAAAAGAGCATGATTCAGCAAGACCATTTGCCTTAGAGGGAAGAGCACTCATGTGTTTGTAATCTTCTGGGTTCTAATACTTCATATCTAATTATGGTCACTGATAAATTTTTTATCACTCTTTTCATTTGATTTTAATTTCTATTTGATTTTTTTAATCTACACTTCCACTAAAAATTTTTATTTTATGTCTGCATGTGAAAAAATACCCAAAACATTTTTCCCCAAATAATATGAGCATTTAAATATTGTTTTCAGACATCTGCAATATAAATGGAATGAAAGACAAAAGTTGTGCTATGTATCTCAAGGCAATGCCAGTTTTACTTACGGCTATGAGTACCTGGGCTGTTCCTCGAGACTGGTTGTTACACCTCTCACAGACCGATGCTGGTTAACTCTCACTGGAGCGCTCCACTGGAATCTAGGAGGCTGCCCTGCTGGTCCAGCTGGTACAGGAAAAACCGAGACCATCAGAGATCTAGCAAAAGTGGGTGGATTTCAATATCCAGAATAAAAGCCTTTTTTTTTTTTTTTTCTTTTCCACACAAACTTCAAGAGTATTTTAAATTCACACTATTTCAGCTGTTAAGATGTTCACAGCACTTAACAAGCATCTTCATTAATTCATCCAATTCATCAATTAATTTTTGAATACCTATTGTGTGCCGGGACTTGGGATCTCAGTAAGCCAATGTACGCTTTCTAACTTATTTACTCAGAATACCACTATACTAACCTACTGACATGTGAATGATAGATAGTCTTCTCCCCCTCCCTCCACCCAGTAGGGGTGATTCCTTCTGAGCCTCATACACAGACTTTGGCTAGTCTTTGTGATTCATAGCACCGTGTGTGTATGCGAAAGAGAGAAAAGAGCAATGGATGAAAGCAAAGGGCATAGTTACGTTTTCTTCTTTGTTTATTAGTTGTTTTGTGTAAAATCATGTACTAATCAATAAAACTGTAATAGTATAACTACATTTATACTATACTGAGTTTTGCGAATCTCTTAATTTGCTATCTAGTTCATCTTTTTATTGCAAAGCTTTTCTCCAAAGAATAATGACATTTCTGTAGTAGTTTTTAAATTAATATTTCTTGTTATAATTCAAGAAATATATTAAAGTAATATTTTGTTTCCCAGTCCTTAGGCAAACATTGTGTGGTCTTCAACTGTTTTGAGGATTTGGATTACAAGGTAACCTTAATAATATGTATGCATGAGAAGACATTGTACACATAATAAAAAGAAGTCACTGGGGAAGGAAAGAACAAGGAAAATGTTTACCTTAGAGAGATGTTAAGTATTAATAGAACTATAAATGCTATTAATTCTTTTAAAGAATAGAATATAATGAAAACTTAGAATGTAATAAAGCAAAAAAAAACCAAACTCATTGCCATCAAGTTGATTACAACTCCTAGAAACCCTAAAGGACAGAGTAGAACTGCCCCATAGAGTTTCTAAGGAGTGTCAGTGGATTTGAACTGCTAACCAAACCTTTGGTTAACCTTTGGTTAGCAGTCATAGCTCTTAACCACTATGCCGCCAGGGTTTCCTAGAATATAATAGAAATTTAAAAATTATAGTTTGTTTTTAGTTCAAGTGAACTGCTTCTTAAGTCGCTTTGTTTTGTTTTGGCTGCACAGTATCTAAAACATATCTGATAACATTGTGAAATATTTAAATCCGTTATTAAAATTTCATGTACGTCTGTGCCTGTTAGAAATTTATTGTAAGTTTCAAAACACTACAATTTATTTTGTTTTGCATATTAAGTCCAAACCTTTCACATTTTATTGCTGTCATTTCATCTGGAGTTCAATGCACATTACCTCTGAGACTCTGCATTCCCAGTTTGTGCTCATTTAGCACGTTAAAAATATCAATAAATATAAATAAGCAAATGCAGTTATTATATTGAAGACACCTACCTAACTGAGTCTGTTGCTACCTTCCTGCAAACTACCCACCAGCAGGGCCGAGCAGGACTGGGACTAAAACCAAACAAGCAAACCTGTTGCTGTCCAGTCGATTCCGACTCACAGCGACCCCATAGGACAGAGTAGAACTGCCCCATAGGGTTTCCAGGGAGTGGATGGTGGATTCGAACTGTCAACCTTATGGTTAACAGCTGTGCCCGAAATCACTGTGCCACCAGGGCTCGAGGACTGGGACTGGGATGAGGTAAGTGAGGCAGTTGCCTCCTGAGGAAAATTTAAGGAGGAGCTAAAAAAACTAGTAATCAAGATAAATAATGTTTTAATGCAATCTTTTTAAAAAAATTAAAATTAAAATTAATGCAGAAAAATCTCCATGGTGAACATAATATCAAAAATTTGATAAAGACAAGATCCGATTTCTTTGCTGCCCAATGGGAAGAACCAACTTCTATACCCTTCTGGTCTGAGGTTCCCTCACTCTCTTTCATCCCCTTTTCCTTCCCTTTCTGGGAGTATTGCACAACCTGTATTCTCAACCTGTATTCAGCCCGCAGATGTTGTTTGGCTTGACAGTGGTTTTGTTTGTTTTGTTTTTGTTTCAGTTTCTAACCTTTACAAAGCAGTAGATTACATTGCAGACTTCCGGCCCCTCACAGAACACTGGAGGGTCTGGCCACCTTGGACCTACCCAGTAGTAACTGGCAGAAACTGAGCATTCGAGTCTGTCCCAGAGTCCACTTCTTGTCTTAAACTGGCCCTGATTCACTCATCTGCATTACCTACCAGCAGCCCACCACTAAGTCATAAGGAGTCTTGCCTTGATCTAGAAAAAGGCGCACCTAACTTCCAGACACTTTACGGCCATCTGCCAGAAAACTGTAGACTCCTTACCCCAGTGTACGACTATGTGAGGTAAATGGTGCCCAGGGGGGTAGTGTCCACCTTGTGCGCCACATGGTCTCTGTGAGCATCAGAGGTTGCTACTGCTCTTACAGAAGACAGGCAGAGGTGTTGACTCATCTAGATTCTAAGCTGCTGCTGCTTTCAGCCCTACAGAAATACCTGAGGTGAGGAAATGCAAAAGGTGTTTGCTTGGTTTGAGAAAGGTGAGAAGAACATGCACAAATTAATATCCCACTAAATTTTCCCAGCTTTATAATACTGTTTGTAATTAATCTTTTTTTTTTTTTTAAAGATAATAGGAAAATTCTTGTTTGGACTAGTTCAGTCAGGAGCGTGGTGTTGTTTTGACGAATTCAATCAAATTGATGTGGAAGTGCTCTCTGTTATTGCCTCACAAATCTTAACAATTAAGGAAGCGAAAGACAGCTATTCTGTCAGGTATTTGTTAATATGTTTATAGATTTGAATGAAAATCTGACCTACATTTACTGTTTAGTTAATTATGGTTAAATATTTTTCTTCAAAAACAAGTGTGAGGTTTTTTTTTTGAAACATGTAACAAAGGGAATGGTAGTTATCTGTTTCCTTTGCTTGGCAAATAACGTGAAAATATATATAACTAACTTTCACGTCACCTTGGAGATAACGAAATTCTTCACTGAGTTTGGAACAGTCTCCTGACCTACCAGGAAAATAATGCAGATATATTCTAATTACTTTAGAATTAAAGTAATTCTAACTCAAATTCTCTTAGTGCCTTCTCATATGCAGTACTACATTGCATTTGAAGAAACCAAAGTTCTTTTTCTTGCATTCTACTTTGTATCCTTTTTAAAAAACAAAATCATACTGGCCACATACCTGAAGCCACTTCTGCCTGATTACTCTCATTAATGTTTATTAATAAAAGCAAAAATGTTCCCTCTTCAGATAAACTCAGGAACTCACATGATTTACTTGATAGATACAAGTGGGTTTGTAGGTTTAAATTTCTATTCAAATCTAATATTTCTAACTTGATGATTAAGCTAATTGACACTCACTCTGGGTTTATTCTCATGTATTTTGTCCAAACTGTTATACCCTGTACTACAGATTACAGTAAACAAGGTAAGCACAAGTCAGCCTATGCTTACCTTGCTTACTGGGTAATCTGCCCCTTGCTCTGTTTGGGTTTAAATGTAACACAGCCTTAGGAAAGTTCCCAAGCTCACTTGTAGTTTTTACATACTTTGGCCTAGAGAAAATAGTTCTCTTTGTGATGTATTCTGTAATGTATTATAGGTTTGTCCTGGAAGGAAAAGAAATTCGTATCAATATGTCTTGTGCAATATTTATCACCATGAATCCTGGGTAAGTATCAGTGAATCTGTGGTAGGAGTGGTCACAGGCCAAAATCCTTTCCTTAAATCTTTCTCACAGATGGAGTTGTCTGACATTGTCTATCTATCATTCACCCTCCACCCCATCTCTAAATCCCTCTGCTACCCACCATCTATGAACAGCTGCAACTCTACACTTAACCATATGGATGATCTCACAGTCAGCTTCTGACCAAGAGGCATTTTCACTTCATGAGTAGCTGAAGAAAGGAGAAGGCCTGCAGTTTGTCACAAAGAGGACACAGGCAGAAAAGCTGATGAGAGTGGCAGGAGGGATAAGGATCTGATGGTTATGGAGAGTGAAAGCTGAGCAGGTTCAATGAATATCTGTTGATTTATTGCTCTGCTAGTCCAGAGAATCAAAAGAAACTGATTTGAGGTGAATTGTGGGAGAAGGAACAGGAAAAAAGAATGACAAACCAAAAGCTCTGTGAGATAAAATGTACAATACAAACGATCTTGTAAACTTCCTGTTTTCAGATAAAGAGCACATAAAAAGCCATAGAATTATGTGGGGGGAAATTACATTATGTGGTTCCTCATTTGAAAAACTGAAAAGTGGTGTTTTTTTGTTTCTTTTCCTATCCTGTGAAGATACAAAGGTCGAGTAGAACTCCCAGATAACTTAAAATCTCTGTTTCGCCCAGTGGCAATGATGGTGCCGCATTATCAAATGATTGCTGAAATAATACTGTTTTCAGATGGTTTCAAATCTTCGAAAACACTCTCTGGAAAGCTAGCTAACCTTTACGAATTAGGTAGCAAACAGCTCTCACCACAGGTAAAGAACAGGTTTTCCCAAAATATTTTAAAGTGATTATATAAAAATAACTTCAAATGAGTCTTTTCTGTTTATAGTATTTGTACAGGAATGACCTGGAAAAATAGTGGGGCTAGAATTCCTAACCACAAATAGAGGCCACATACTAACTTGGGGATAAGGCAATATGTAGTCAATATGTAAATAAGTCCCTGGGTGGTACAAACGGTTAATGAGATAGGCTGCTAGCTGAAAGGTTGGAAGATAGAGTCCACCCAGAGGCACCTTGGAAGAAAGGTCTGGAGATCTTCCAAAAAACCAGACACACATAGGGTTGCCATGAGTTGGAGTAGAATAAACAGCAACTGATTTTTTGGGTTATGTAAACAAGGTTTCAAGCTGTTCCTCAGACCTGTAGAGAGTATGAGAGTATCTGTTATTTTAAAGCATAGACTGCTTTCTCTAAGCAAGGAGATTTAACATCAGAGCAGTACTTCTCAAACTTTATTGTGCATAAGAATAATTTGGAAGACTTTTTAAAACACAAATTGCTGGGCCTCATCCCCAGAGTTTCTAATTAGGTAGGTCTGGGGTGCGGCTTGAGAGTTTGCGTTTCTAACAAGTTCTCAGGTGTTACTATTGCTGCTGACCTGAGTACCAGACTTTGAGAATTACTGTTACAGGATATGACAGCTTGATGAGTGTTTCTCACCCAGAATGGTTTGGACAGATAACTACATTATCTCCAAAGTGCTCTTCTCTTCAATATTCTTTTGATTCATCTCTTTGCATTTCAGAGAAAATCTAATACAGATACTGATAGCCTTTAACACCTTTCTTCAGTACTTGTCAACCTTTCTCTTAAGATGGAGACTCACAGGAGCACTAGTTTGGGAGGGAAGTGAAAGCATTAGAAGCAGAATTAGGGGTTTCTTGAATCATATCACTATTTCTCTGTATAGCATAGATGATCAATAATTTAACCATGTATGCATTTATTTCCAAATTGTTCCATGTTTCCTTCAGAAACTTCAGTAACTCAAATATTTTAATGTTTGATAGGATCACTATGATTTTAGCATGAGGTCCCTGAAGACGGTGTTAGTAATGGCTGGAAAGAAGAAACGGGAATTTAAATGGTCAGTTGAATTTTGAGTTAAGAGTGTTAGATCAACAATGAGATACCACTTCACCTGGCTATGATTTTAAAAAGGGAGATAACAAGTGTTGGTAAAGATGTGGAGAAATTGAAACCTTCATGCGTTACTGGAAATGTAAAATGATGCAGCCAGAGTGGAAAACAGTTTGGTAGTTCCTCAAAAAATTCAACACAGAACTACCATATGACCCAGTAATTCCACACCTAGGTACAAACCCAGGAGACTAGAAAGCAGAGACTTAGATACTTGTAGGCAAATGTTCATAGCAGCATTACTCACAATAGCCAAAAAGTGGAAACAATACAAATGTTCATCAACAGACAAATGGGTAAATAAAATGTGTACCATACAATAGAATATTTTTCAGCCATAAAGAAAAATGAAGTTCTGATATATACTACAAGATGGTTGGACCTTAAACCGTGATGAGTGAAAGAAGCCAGACAGAGAAGAACAAATACTGTATGATTCCACTTACATGAAATATCCACACTAGACAAACACATAGAGACAGAAAGTAGATTAGAGGTTACTGGTGGCTGGGGTGAGGAAGTTACGGGGAGTTGTTGTACCCATTGTACTCATTGGTACAGAGTTTCTGTTTGTGTGATGAAAATTTTGGAAATAGTGGTGACTGCACAACATTGTAAATGTATTTAATGCTGCACACTTAAAAGTGGTTAAAATGGCGAATTTTATGGTATATATATTTTTCCCACCACCAGTTGCCTTAGAGTCAACTCCAACTCATGGCAACCCCACGTGTGTCATAGTAGAACTGTGCTCCACAGATTTTCTGTGGCTGATTTTTTTGGAAGTGGATTGCCAGGCCTTTTTTTCGAGGTACTTCTGGGTGGACTTGAACCTCCAATCTTTCGGTTAGTAGCCAAGTGCCTCACTATCCGCGGACTCCTACATATATTTTAGCGTAGTAAAAAAAATTTAAAAACTTATAAAATAATGTAGGTCAAAGGATGTTATATACCACTGGGAAACTCATGTGTACAATTGTAAGTAGTGATGTTAAGATAAGATAAAACAGGAGTCCTTGGAGTGTCACAGTAAACTATGACAGAGGTTGTTTGAACAGTACGAAAAAAGAGGAAGAAAGACTGCACAAAACTGCTCTGCACACATGGGGTCGCCATAGTTGGAACTGACTTGACAACAGCTAACAACAACAACACCCTTTCCCCAATAGAGCCTATTCTTTAAAAAGTATGCTTTACCTTTTATGTAATAAAAGAAGAAGGAATAAAAGGTCCCATTTAGAAGAGCAATAACTTAGTAAGAAAATACAAGACCTACATGAATATGCGTATATGAGAAATGTGCAAAACCCACGTGAAGCAAACTTTAAAACACTACTGAAAGACACAAATGAAAACTTGAATAAATGAAATACACCATGTTCTTAATATCATAACACAACATTGTAAAGGACTTAACATCATAAAGATTTAAATACTCCAAATGTTAATTTATGAATGGAAATAAAACCCCAGTAAAAAATACGAAAAGAGTTTTTTGTTTGTTTGATTTTAGGCAAGCTGATCCTAAAATTCTTATGAAAAATAAGTAAGTCTACCTAGAAATCTACTGAAAAGCAAGAGGAATGAAAGAGAAATATCTCTTTAAATTCTAAGACATATTATAAAGTCTCAATAATTAAAACATTGTGGTACTGAATCATGAGTAGAAAGGCAAACTGATGGAACAGAATAAAAAGTCCAGAAATAGATTGAAATACGTATGGGCATTTAGTATCGTAAATCAGGGGTAAGAATAGACTTTCTAACAAATGGTGCTGGGAAAACTTAATAGCCATCTGGATAAAGATCAATTTGCAACCATGGTTTATGTCATTCACCAGGATAAACTAAGAGGATCAAAGATTTTTAGTGTAAAAAATTTAAAACATGAAAGTATTTGAAGAAACAAAACGTCGATATTGCAACTCATATCACAGTCAAATAACTCATCACCATAATATATAAAAGAATTTCTAGAAAATTGGGAAAAAACCAAGAAGCAATTGGAAAAAATGGACGAAGGACATCAGCAGATATTTTCTCAAAAAATGAAATCTAAAAGTTCCTTGAATATATGAAAATGCCATCAACTCCACTCATGAGAGAAATGCAGACTCAGTGAAATACTGTCTCTTCTCTTATCAAAAGGGCAAAAATATAAAATTTAAACAGACCTTTCTGTCAGTAAGGCATTCTTTTTCACTACTGATAAAGGTGGAAGAGACTGGTTCAGGAAAAGACTTCTCAGTGTCTACATTTCTGTACTTTTTGACTTGAGGCAATATGCACATATTACCTATTTAAAAACTAAATGAAAAACATAGTGATGAATACATTGCAAAAAGATACATCAATGTGATGCCATTTATATGAATTTTTTAAACACAGAAAATAATATACATTGCTTACTGCACAAAACATACGTGTGTAGTCAAAAGTACAAAATGTTGCATGGGGGGTGGGCACAGATTAAGGGATAAGCTTAAGCTCTATCTGAAACATTTTATTTCTTAAAAATAAACAACTGAGACATATATTACAAAATGGCAGCCTACCTACATAATATTGATGGCATGTAAATAGGTGTCTATTATGAAATGCTCTTTAATTTTTAAAAAATTAGACAAATTGTACTCTGTATGAAACCCAAGTGTTGCTCCTTGATGTCCCCAAGTCCTCCAGTCTTAGAGTCACTTAGTTTTTTACATAAATAAATATTCCAACAAATGTGGTACTGTTGTCCTTTCAAAGTACCACATTAGTTTTCTTCAGATGGTAGAAAACTCAGTTCTCATGGGCACCCTTTGATCTGAGTTCCTGTTCCTGCTGCACTCTCAGTCTGTTTCCTGTCACTCAGAGCAGCTCTTTTCTCCCTGATCTGTGCTGACAGAAGTGTGACAGCCCCACTTCTTTCGATTTCCCCAAAGCACCACATAAATGATGTGGTTGTGGGAAGCTGACCATACCATGAGGCGGATTGGGAAATTTCTTTGTCTGAGTAAGACACAGCAAAAACTTAAGACAATTTTGCTTTTTAAGTCTCTTGCCCCTTCCTGCCCCCAAAATTATAGTTCTTTTTGCCTCTTTTCTCTCTCCTTCTCTGTCCCTTTGTCTCCTTCCACTCCACTCTATTCTTCCCAAGACTCCTGATTTCGTCTCTTAAGCAGCCAAAAATACGACAAACTTCTCTCGTTTTCTGGTGCAGAGGAATTCAACTCTCCCTTTTTCTGCCTTCTCTTTCTAGATCATGTTGGGTCAGCCCAACCATAACTCCCAAATAGACTTTCAGGGTGTTTAAATTTTTTAAAAAATGTATCCATTTCCTGGGGCTGCTGTAACAAATTGCCATAAACTTGGGGACTTAAAATAACAGAAATGTATTTTCACACGTTTCCTGAGGCTAGAAGTCTGAAATCAAGGTTGTTGGTCTGACCACGTGCTCCAGAGGCTCTAGGGGAGCTTCCATTCCTTGCATACCCAGCTTCTGGTGGTTGCTGGCATTCTTTGGCTTGAAGCTGTATCACTAATCTCTGCCTCCATCTTCACATCACCTTCTCTTCTGTGTGTCTGTGCCTCTCTCACATAAGGATACTTGTGATTACTTTTAGATCTGGCCAGTCTAGGGTAAGCTCTTCTTCTCAAGATCTTCAACTTAATCGTATCTTTTGCCATATATTCACAGGTAATAGTCACAGGTTACAGGGATTAGGAAGTGAATAGATGTTAGGGCGTTGGGTGGCTTTTTTGCCTACTGCAGGCAGATTTCTTCCTCATTCCCTTAAAGAGATTTTTCCAAATCTCCCATTTTGTTTAGAAAACTATCCAATAGACAGAGTTCTAGGAATCCCTTGGTAAGAAATATTTGCTTGTTAACAACTAGAGAATTCATGTATCTTCAAGTACACTTGACACATAAGTCTTACCATAGTTCTGAGGCACAAAATAAGTCTCATCTAGTTCCAAAAACCACCATGTGCTGGTCAGTTTGTTGTACTGTGGTGGCTTGAGTGTTGCTGTGATACTGGAAGCTTTGCCACCGGAATTTCAAATACCAGCAGGGTCACCCTTGGTGGACAGCTTTCAGTGGAGCTTCCACACTAAGACAGACTAGGAAGAAGGGCCTGACAGTCTACTTCTGAAAAAATTGGCCAGTGAAAACTTTATGAATAGCAGCAGAACATTGTCTGATATAATGCCAGAAGATGAGCCCCTCAGGTCAGAAGGCATTCAAAATACAACTGGAGAAGAGCTGCCTCCTTAAAGTAGAATTGATCTTAATGATGTGGGTGGAGTCAC